TTTTTTTTTTAGATGTTTAGAAGAGAACGTGTCGTCCCTCTTGCTCTCACTCTTAAAAAACGCACCTCTCTCTAACTCAACGAACGAGCTCTAATATGTATATAATCGTATTAAAGAGAGAAATAAAAAGGGTTGTTCATGCCTTTGCTCTCTCGTGCCGCTTGTCTACACCGCCGATTGTTATATTTACAAATCCTATATCCCTTTTTACAAATATCTATAATCGCCTCTTCTACGTTGCAAGAAAATATATCGTTTCTTCTCGTGTAGAGACACGTACGCTACGTTTACTTCGCGCTGAGTTCGCGACACTAAAGTTTACAACCCTTTCCTTCCTAAACTGGTCATTGTTGTTCATCTACTTTACGCGACGCGTATTTAACGTGACGGAATATCGAGGAATACTTGCGGCAAGGGAGAATTACAACCAAAGTACAATTTCCGAGAGACACTGCTTCGCACTTAGTGCCAATTCTTATTATCTGGTTTAAAACCGCGATCTCGTTTCCGCCGTCTCCGTGCCCAACTAAATTTACGCGTCTAAACTAAATCTCGAGTCGTTAGAAAACGTAGAGGAATGCAAATTTTCAAAGATGTTGTCTTAGGTGTTTTCCTTGATATTATACAGTTACGTTATACATAGAATATCTAATTTTTTAGGAGGGACATTACATGTATCCTAAACGAGCGCTCTACGAGCTATCGAGAGATCTTTCTTTTCCTGTATTTGAAACCGTACAAAATAGTGATTCACCATTGTGTATTTACTCGAGACATCGAGACCACTACATTTTTTTCTATACACCCTACACACGACAGTTTTTTGTTAACACCTTAGGTACACGCTGTATAACGAAATAAACAAAAATCACCGATTAGACTCGATTACAGGCGAGTAAAGAAAAGAGAGACAGCGAACGAGTAGAGAGCTTATCTACCTACGCTTCATTGTTTCATTGCGAGAGAGGATCGAGCGTGCTAAAAGACGACGGGAGTAAAAGATGACAATCAAAAGTCAGCGTGAGGATATCGCAATTTGGCGTTCGTCGACCTTCTTTACTCTGACTACTTACACACGAACTAAAATAAATCTTTTACTCTTCCGAATCGCGAACGATCACAATCTCTCTTTCTCCCCGTGTGTCGTGACGTATTCATATAAAATTACACCGCCAATTACGAGTAGTTATTGTATTTAATTGCTTTAGGTGAGACGCGTGCAACGTAATACTCACGTGCACGGACGAATACAAGAATACCACAGCTATCACATCGACGCAGGCCTATACGTAATAAAAAGTCGCGCCAAAAATGTCCAACATTAACGAATTAAGCTAACGATAGATATGAATTTCTTTTTTCTTCATTTTTAATTTTATTACAACGTTTCGCAATAATTTCATTCCCGAAAGAGGGAAGAACGTTGGCGAATCTGAAGAGAGAGAGAGAAATCAAACAAAAAACCGAGACTGTTATCTTGCTCATGTCTCACGAATCTTTAAACAAAATACCCTCTGGAAAAGAGAGACACGGCACACTTATACCCAGGGTAGGCAGGTGTAAGGGGCGCAACTATTCCTGTTGTGGATGCTAACGAAGGGAAGCGAGTGTCGTTGCCTGTGTCAGCGTTGACGATAGGGGTCCAATTGCGTGTTTTTGTGCATCTGCGGTGTTACATTACTCGGTTGTGATTGCTCTTGTTTGTGTTGTTGATAGGGATGTCGGGTTTGCTGCTGCTGTTGCTGTTGCTGTTGCTGTTGCTGCTGTTGTTGTTGCAATTGCAGCTGTTGCTGCTGCTGCTGCTGTTGGTGCTGGCGTTGTTGATGCGGTTGCAGGGTATGTTGCAATTGCTGTTGCTGTTGCGGTTGCGATTGCGATTGCGGCTGCGGCTGCTGCTGGCCCTGTTTTCGTTGCTCGGTGCCAGCCGCCACGTAAGAAAATACGCAGAGGACAGCGTAACAGATATCAGATGCCTGCGAATGAAGAAATATTTTACGCTCTTGCGTATACGTACAAATTATTCATGTCTTTTTATTTATCAGACGTTTTGATGTTGATTTATTAGAAATAAAAATAAATATTAATTTTATTAAATCAAATTTTGCAAATTTTTATTCATTTTTTATTTTGTACTTATGTGTATGTGTGTATAAAATCAAACTTAAATCACTTGAAACTAGAACTTTGTTCAGAAATGTCAGAAAGTTGAATTGTAAAAATTGTCTTCTGAACGTAATTTATGCAAAACGAAAATTTATCAAACGGAAAAAAGAACTTACGTGAGGTGTAAGAAAGGAAAAAACTTAAAGATAAGCCTCATGCGGTGTCATTTCCGCGCTTATGTTTCTGATGAGTCTCCGACGGGAGTTTATTAAGGGTAAATGCGACGGAAAATATTCTATGCAAGCAGCGAACCGCCTCTTCAGCCTGTCACACAGTATATGGCTATAGAAACGATAAGTACAAAAATTGAAAGTAATAAAATGTCTATCATCCTCGACTCTTTTTATCTTGAATGTTGTTAATTAAAAGTAAACCGTTGTAACTTAATAATATTTTATTATATTCGCTAAACGCTTAAATTATCGTGAAATTTTTTAAAACGTTATTGTATTCTGTGTACGTATAAAATAAATCTTTCATTCTGTTAAAACAAATATAGTTTTAATAGAATTAATTATTAACGTATTAATTAGTTTTATAATAAAACAGACATTTTATTACTTTTCTCTCAAAATAAATATCTTTTGTCATATATCTCGCGGCAGATATATTCTATTCCGGCAGTAAGGAGCTTTGAAATACTCACCATTTGCGACTTATATTTACGTTGAATTACTTGTCTAGTTTTAGGATCTGAAACAGAAAGGCGTCCGATGACGTTCCGACATTCAAAGACTAAAACCTAAATTGCAGCGTAAAGCAGAGTATATCGTGAATATATTTTTATTAATTTTTTTTCTTTTTTCTTTTTTCACGAGATATCTACGAGCGTGTAAAAGCGTATGGTAAATCGATGCATTATTCGGTGTGGTCACTTACTGAATTCTTCCAAAACAAAGATTCCATCCTTTTGAGTAAAGCACTTGCGGATATGATCGAGTCTTACAAAAAACTGCAAATAACACAATCGGTTTGCGTTAGTGGTCTGCGTATCGCGGCGTCATGGATCTGGATCTACTCCATCATGCACGCACGATTCTGACGATTTCTCTATTTGCCTATCATTATCTTATGCGTCGATATATATGCGGCAATATCGGTCATGTGTGCGAAACAGCTTTCTAAAAGAGGCGTGAGAATGTATCGTGATGCTCGCCCGACGATAAGCGTCCGTTTCCACCCTTCGAGCGCTAACTCCGTCGCATCTCTGATCAATTAACCAATTCTACATTTTAATCTCACTTTATTATTCAAAATTACTCCTACATTATTCTATTTATTATTGCAATTATATTATTATTATTATTATTTCAATCGTTTTCAAGTAAATTTGCAAAATGCAAAAATGTGAAAGATTCCGCAATTCAACTTCTTTTGATTAAAGATAATGCTTTTTAATTAAAAATCTAGACGCGCTCGACGGGTTTTGCGCAAAGGGCGTGATTCGCGTACTATCTATTTTAATCGATGCACGTCACCGTACAGAGACTCACAATTATGCAAACTATAATTACAATGCAATTAGCGAAATTAATACACTTTTCTCGTATAATCTTTTTGATTCACGGTAACCGTCGCCTTATAGCATGATCTGTTTTTTAACGCAAGACTTGGCACGTTACTTTTTATCGATGATTTATTAATGGTGTAGTAACGCGCGTGACGTACATCGGACAAGAAGTCATCGACAAAATTTCTAACAATCGTAGTAACTGTCACTGTTATCATTACATGCCGTTTACACAAAATAATTAGTAATTCACACTTGATTAGATGCGAAGCGATGCTCTTGTACGCTAACATTGTTGCGACTAGGTCGTGTTTCTTCCGTTTTTCCGAAAATATAAAAAAAAGAACACATGCTTTATTTCAAACATATTTATCTCGAAGATTCGTGATTTCATCTTAAAGATTTTCTCTGCGTGCGAAGCGAACGATTCAAATCTAACAGAGACCTGGATATTTATCTTGCACATTAAAACCCGTGTGCCTCGCGAGCGATTGGATTATTTTAACATTCACGTTCCAGCATTTCGAGTAACTTTTATATCCTCGAGCCGATCTCCACTACGAAAGGAGAAAACGTGGAAGATACATTTCACGGCGACGACGTCCGCGTGACGAACATTGAGAGACGTGTTGTATGTGGAATATCGCGGGTGTCGTATTTAATGGGTAATGCTGAAATAGAAATGTATCCATTACACGTGCAAAAAGTGTAAGACGAGAGAAACGAAATCGGGAAACTCAAAAACCCTATAAATATTTCTACATGCAGCATACACAGGCCTGTCAGAACAGCCGTATTAACGATTGTCTCGCGAGACAGCATGCTCAATCTCACTTAGCAATTGTCATATTTTGATCGCAAACTCAGCAGCAAGCAACAGTGTGTATTGTCCCAAACTGAACCTTAGCAAGACCATCAATTCTCAGGAACACGTCTTACCGTCTGCAAAAATAATATCCATTCGATGCGGAATATTGCAACAATGTTGCATTATTTAATTACGCGGAAAAATTTGTTGATTGTCTTAAGTTGATAATACGAGTGGACAACAAAGAAAATATATTACTCAATTTTCAGCCAAAATAATTTCGTCTATGTAGAGTATTTTTTTCAATTGCTGAGTTCTGCGAGAATGAATCCGCGGTGTAAGAGCGAAAACGACGCATAAACGATCCAGGAAACTATTCTACGACTACTAAAATCTACTAAAAACGCCATGCATCGTTCAGCAAACGCGTTGCAATCTCGATAATAATTGATTTTCAAGCAAGATCTAGCGATGGCAGCAGCAAGCAGCGACGGCATCGGCAGCAACAGCGGCAGCAATGTCAGCGAGATACATAGCGGCAGGCGTAATAGCGGCAGGCAACTCTGGAGATGGCCTAAACTCAATTGTAAAATGTCACTGATTGCTTAGCGTCGGAGAGTTGCTAAAATGTGCAATTGTATCCGTCTAATACAGATCGGCGGACGTGATACGATCGACAATGATGCACGGTGATATATATATTATATCGATCGTGGGGGGGGGGGGGGGGGGGGGGGGGGGGGAGAAATGGGGAAGGGGGGGGGGGGGGGGAGCATGACGGTAAACAAATATCACTTCTTAAGGAGTGAATCGGATACAATATTGGAGTCGGTACAATGTCGTAAACAAGAAACAGTATGTCAGCAGAGTGCCATGCCAGAGAAGTGTAATAATATCATGGCGAAGAAGGTTGAGAGGCTCGCGCGCGAGACTCGCGCAGTCTTCACGACGTTTTCTTCTTTCGTAGAGTCCTGTTCGCAATAAACACGTTAGACGATCACTAGACAGCACGAGGAACCATTGCTCTACTACATGACTACCAGTGTAAAATGAATTAATGAATTTCGAGCGATGCATGTGTTACTCGCGGATTTCGTTTTCATTACTTGATACTTTGCTATGTAATTTTTTTTTAGGAAACCTGAGAATCCGGAGTTTCGAAGAGTCACCTCTCAGTATCAACCGCGCGAACGAACATTTCCGTTTTCCTTTCCGCAGAACCGCGAATTCTCTCGCAATCCGGGCAGAGCGTTATGCAAAAAATCAATCGAGAGAATAATTTTAGGCATATTAAATCTTTCATCTCTTTTCGTACTACTCTCGTTTGCGCAATTCGTCTTCTTCAATTTATTCCCAATATCGTCCGCATTATGTAAGCAATCCTGATGAAGTTTCGATATCTTTACGCAGTATATCTCTCTCTTGAAATATCATCCCCGATTTTACCGTCCACGAGAAATGTCCACATAAACGAGGGACAATCTAGAGGCATTTGTTGATGCACAATTAATGGTCCCGAAATCTTACGCAAAGTGGCTTTTACAGACTACAATCATGTTCCACAGCCCACGTATGTTTCGCTTAATCTCATCCAACTGAAACTTGAAATAAAAAAAAAAAGAAAACGGAGAGAGCAGATAGTTTACTTCCGGAGACTTCGTACAGATAGCCGGGATACTTGTCATCGATCCTTTAAGAAATTGGCAGCATATTTTTTATTTTTTTAAATTTTTTTTTAAGGGACTCGATCGCGTGTCGAGCAAACTGACAACGACAATGACGGTATCGATAAAATAAATGTCTCGAAGAGCTTTCTCAATTTACAACCGAGAGAGAGAGAGAGACACGGTGTGTAAAACGTGAAAGCTGTAAATGATGATCGTGACGTAATGACTTGGTGTACGGACTTTCATGTACGAGTGATTAGGCTATATAGATATATATATAGTTGCAATGTGTGTGCATCGAACATCGCTCTCTACAAGTTGCACTAAACACTACTTACAAATATCTCATCTAAACGATATACAATATGTAAAGTATATTGTGTCGGACTTTTCGGTCAATGCGGCAAACACTGTTCTGCATTTCATCGTTCATTACTGGATACCTGGAGAGGTATCAGCTGTACGATATGTATATATATCATATATATAATATCGTAACGGAAAGATACATATGCGTGTATATATATATATTACAACTAACACCGATCGATCGTAGAAAAAAACAGTAAGGATAGACAGAGCAGATCAGTGAGTTCGAATGCAATTTAAGAATGTAAGGTAGATATATATATAGTATAATGGTATATATATAATAATATATACGGCCAAAAGTAATGGTGAAAATAAATAAGCATCTCCGGAACACGGCCAACATTGAGTATATAGTCATATACTGAATTTATATAACAAACAATGACTTATTTTGATTTGATACCTCGAAATCCTGTTTGCCCAGCCGCAGGGCAATGTCGATGGACGGGACAAGAAAACAGAAAACAGAAAAACAGAAAATTAAAACCTTTGGTAACAGCAGTTATCCACTCAGTTATAGAGTATATATAGCATATATATATATATGTAGAATGTATATATAGAAAAGAGAGAGAGAGAAGAGAGATACAGCTGTATACGATGATATCACAGCTACGCTTTTATCACCTAACGTCATGGCCAAATCGATAAACAGCAAGGTATATATATTCATTGTTCAAGGACCATCTCAAAAGTTCCCCAAGCTGAGAAAAGTCTATCATTCCGATTACCCGAATCGGATGCCCGTGTATGCCCGTGTATCCCGGGCGTAATATCCCACGGGTATTTCGTCATTTCTCGCGCGAGATTCCGTCAATAAACGAGAGCCGCGAGAGCGTTTTATCGCGGTGGAGTAAGTGGCCGGGTAAACAGCGATTTGTGTAGCGCACGCGATTTCGTTGCATCATCTTCTTTTTCTCTTCTTCATAATTGTCCTTTTTTTTTTCTTTCGTCTCGAGCCGCGAATAGACTTTCCTCGCGCATGACCACGACAGATAAAGAAGTTGTTAGACTTATGGAGAAAATATAATAGCATCCAACATTCAATACAAATGATAAGATATAGGAGTATAGTGTTCAAAAGACAGTCTGTATATATATTGCCCTATACCTTATTTCCTATGTAATATATATATATATATAAATGTAATGATAAATAAAATATGTAATATATATATATATAATTATATATAATACAGATAAAAGAGTCTGCAACTGCACATCGAGCTTCCATGCAAGAAAACATTGATTAATATAACGCCTGAACACAATATTATCCAGTAAAAATAACCGAGAGAATATCAGAGCCGTATGAAATTGTGCCGAGTACATTTCGCGCCGGAACGATTACGATTAAACGGAGAGCTCTCGATTAACGTCAAGCCAGAACGACTGTTTTCTTCGTCGAAAAATGGTATGTGCACGCGTGCGACGCGTTATACGTGTATGTGTAATGCACCTGGTTCGGACGTGGTCCGATTCCTGATAAGATCCATTCGCTGCATTTGTTTGCGTTACTTATCAATTTTCTTAAAAACCCCGAAATCCATTTATATATCGTATTCTTTTCTATTTGCATCAAAATATGCATTCTGAATGTTTGCTAAAAAAAAAAAAAAGATTGAAAATTTCTTAAGACAAATGGACCACATTTCGAATACAGATGCGCATAAAAGGATGTCCCAGATCCGAGAACGTGCTCTTTTAATTAAAGATTTATGGATCAATTTTGAGCCAATTTCTCGTTATTAAGAACTTTTTATGGGAATAATAACTTTTTTTTACTATTTCTTCCTTTTTCACGTTAGATATCTCAACGACTCTAGGCTTGAGAATTTCATTAAAGTAAATTCCAGCCGTGATTGGATCATATTAACAGAATCCGTTGAGTTTGCGGAAAATCTTCCGTGGTCTGACGCGAATAGTTAAAGAATTAGCGCGTTGATATTTTTGCAATGGAAAATTGACTCATCAGCGATCAAAGAGAGCTTATATACGGTTAAAGAAAAGAAAAGCACAATCGATCAGCGGCATCCTGTAAATTCCGCGTAATTATGCTGCGTTTCTTTCTTAAAGAAAAGTGTGAGATGTGTGTTTCTATATCTCTTCATTTCTTTCGTAGAGTCTTTTTAATTCCGTTTTCGTCGGTACCGATTTGTGTCGTTGCGTGTACGCGCGAGTATGAATTTTCGCGGGTATCCTCATGAACTACAGATAAGAAATCTTGGCGTCACAGGGTATTTCTCACGGATTTTTGGAATGTACATCGGGTTGAATGTTCGCCGATCGAACCACCTTGAGCCCGACTTGACCTACCACATGGACGCATATCGCGATGAATCACGTACAAAGATACAAATCAATTAAGCAGATCGTAGTGGCTAGCAGTGGGAGATAATATTGAGTGGTCCTTGCATCAATGCAGTAAAATGAAAGAAAAAAAAACACACAGAGAGAATATTCGATGATCGAGAGAACATGAATGGTTAAAAAGACAGTGGTTGAACGACGACGAGATTTCGTCCTATTCAATCCTATTTCAATTTCAACGCTGCCGTTTTTGCATTTGCCGTTTTGTCTTTCTTTTTTCCTTTTTATTTAATCAATGCCCCATTTAAGTACTCATTTAATATTTAATCGAGCAACGTTACGAGTATCGAGGCTAGCATTTAATGCCGCCTCCGACCGCGATCGCGATCATTGAGCCGAGACAAAGGATATCTTTTTATTTCTTTCGAACGAAGTCAGTCTCGTGGTAGCGTAACACATTCTCTAACGTATATGTTCAATCTTGCTGAAATAAAGGGATTATTATACGCATTGGCACGTCGGTAAAAAGTAAACGATACAGCATCGGTAGCCAGAGGGGGGGGGGAAACGCAACGTTATATAATCGAGACGTAATACGGTCGAGGGTATAACGGAAGGTGATAATAATCTCCAAATCAAAGTTTCCAATAAATATATACGATCCAACATGACACAAACAATTGAACGTAGAATGTAAGAGGGATATATAGATATAGATATATGCGCAATCCTCGAAAGAGAGAGAGAGAGAGAGAGAGAGAGAGAGAGAGAGAGAGAGAGAGAGAGAGAGAGAGAGAGAGAGAAAGTGAGAAGGAGAGCCGAGCTCTCGATTCTTCCCGATAACAGCGTAAGAAAGTGTGTGGCTTTCACGCGAGTGCGAGTCATACCTTGCTGTTCGCGAAGAGGAGACCGACGCCCTCCATGCAGACCTGCAGAAGCCCGCCCTCGCCCGTTCGCATATCCTGCACCGGGAACTCGCCACCGAGCTCGTAGCCCATGTTCCCGCCTCGCCCGCGAGCTGCCGCCTTCTCCATCGCGTCCTTAATGCAGTAGTACACGTCCTTACACTGGAATAAACGATCGTTTTAGTTTATTTAGCATCGAAAATCAACTTGGAAATCCACGAATTTTCCCCAGAATATGTAGAACAGATTGTATCATCTGAAACTTTTGCTATCCATACAGATTAACTTTAATCTCGGTTTAACTTTCTATCTTCTTCCAATTCTTAGAACTGAACTAAATTAAAATTGGATTAAAGTTAATCTACATTGTTAGAAATACATAAGACTCTTTTAAGACTTTCTATCCTGTCTTTGGTGAACTTTTGTAATTATTATGCGACAGAACAAAATGTTCTTTCTTCTTCGTTGTAATCCTTCGTTCGATCCTCCCTACCTTCTTAGTGTAATACTTGTGTAACTCGGTATCGCCGCCGCTCCTCCTCCACAAGCACAGAACCTTGTTCTTCGGACTGTAGGTCATGTTGACCACGCGCTCGTACCACCAGCGCTCGACTATCACGCCGTTCACTGATCTCAGCACGAGGCCGTCATGCCGAACTTCGAGAAACCGCAGGTCACCCTCGGCGTCGACCCCCGAGTGCACGGTGAACGACTGCCGGTGCATTTGTCGGGACGTCAGGGGCTTCAGGTCGATGTCGTTTCCGTGCTGCGAGGAAGAAGCGTTCTTATAGCGACTTGCTAATCAGTTGCGCGATAAAACACTCACGAGATTGTTTATTTGTTCGAGGAGTAGATTCAGTTCCTGGCTGTAGATGAGGCCGATGTGACTCTTGCCTAGCAGTCTGCGTACCTTCCGCTTCAGTTCGTTCTTCTCGACGTTCAGCATCACTAGGATAGCGGTGAGATTGTGCAGCAAAGTGCACAACAGTCTGTCCTCCTCGTGTTCCAACCGTCGTCTCTCGCTGTCGCTTAAACTCTTGTATCTGCGTCGCGCATGCAACATGTTTTAATAACGATTCTCTTTGTCACTACATTTATATGTATTGATTAATAGATGTACGATTTTTCAATTTCTAATTCGAAATAGAAGAAGATTACGTGGTACCATCTCTGATTTTTGTTAATGTTGACCTCGTCTTCAATCGTTAAGTATTACAGACGTCTCTTACCTCTCCACCATCTCTCCGGGCCCTTGATCCATACCCATCATGTCGCGTTCCTGCGAGACGGCGTCCAAGAAGGCGTCCTCCCAGAACTGCATTTCGTCCCACAGGGACGATCTCTCCTTCCCCAGTAAACCTGGATTTGAAAATCGTGATAATGAAAAGATAACAAAATATACGAGAAAATCGTCAGCTTTTATCATTCTTGGCAATCGTATCGTTTATTTAAATGCTTCTAGTATCGTACCCTCGAAGAGATATGTTCTCGCAGCTTCCGGGCTCGGTAACGTTGTGGTAGGTATTAAACTTCCGCCGTGATACCGGAATCCGGTGCTCAGGGACGACTTGCTGGACCAAACGCTGCCGGAACGCTGCTTGCCCTGCCGAGGAAACTGGAATCACAGAATCGCGTAAGAATGAAGTTAATAGCGTTATCCAAGGATGAGGATCTTTGATGAAAAACGATAGTGATTTTAATGAAACGATAACAGCCCGAGACTACATGTTCTTATTGACGTCCGTCGAGATTATAATGATTAGAGCCATTCCAATTAACTAATTGCGATGCCACCTCTAAGATCAAAGGGTAACTTGTTTGCACGAAGAACCACGGAAGAAACCTAGTTACGTCACAAACGAGACACTAATTTTTTTTTTAATGTGACAGTAATTAAAATTGCAGTGAAACGCGTCATTGTTACCCTTCGATAACAGTTTTCTATGCGATCTGTCAGCGTCCATTCGTGTCTGATGAATGTCGAGGTATCAACGCGACTCGAGTGTTCGGAACTACGGGAAACTCTCGTCGCGCGAGATGTAGACGCTACATATCCGAATCGGTCGCGTCTGAGGACTCTATACGTTCCTAAAAGGCGCGTACTTAAACGTTTGAGGAAATGGACGATAATACTAACGTATGTGCGTTGCGCTCTACCAGATGTATCTAACAATTATGTAAGATTATATTAATTCAAGATAGTTTACATTGCCTTGCTCGACCTCGCTATCAGACACGGTGCTTCGGAAGGAAGCTTGGTGCGCTTGCCGAAAAGCAGGATTAGTGATAATGCTACCTCCGTCAGTGGACAAAGCTTCGCTGCTCCCCGTTCCACCACCCCGCCCACTCTAAAAAACACATGACAAAACACATGTGCGTTGCATGTTACAATCGAAAATTGAGCATTTTTGTGATGTTTTTTTCTTTTTCTTTCTTCGCGTTTACTAGCTTTAAAATAAGGACCGTCAAAGAAACTGCCAGGCCGAATAAATATTCTCTCTAAAAAAAAAGAGAGAGAAGAAGAAGTGCTATCTCTCGTCTGTTTTAGGACGGGGGGAGGAGATGTATTTTTACCAGTATTTTCAACAATCATTGATCGCGCCTGCAGAATCATTGCGACACCAAGTAGAACAACCAACTTGAAACTCGAGCTTAAGATATATAGGAACTACGTTTAATATTGAATGGAAAAATTCTTTCTACCTCCGAATCGAACGAGGTGAGCTTGCTTAAAAATTTCCCTTTCTTCGTAAACATATCCAGAAACATGTCCGTTGTCGATTGGCCCGTATCTCCTGCCGGCGGTGCCTGCGGCACATCCAAATGCACTTGCGGCAATTCTGGTATTTGTAAAAATATTATTACTTAGTACTAATAATCAAGTATTTATTTAAATTATTGTCCTACGCTCTTTTGGCAAATTTTACGTCTATTCCAAAGTCAACAAAGTTTACGTGAAACAATTGGTCTCGTTTATCGCAATGATGATTAAAATTTTTAATCAAAAATCTACCTCGACTAGGAATTGACGGAATTTTTCTTTAATGACAGTGTGCTCAAAGACATACCCGATTTTTGCGTGACATCCATAAAGTCGGGCTGATTCGGGGATTGCGGAGATCTCAGGTTTTCTCTGCTACCGAATGGGCTAGACGCCTGCGAAACAAACGCTTTCTTCATTGTCGAATTAAATTTATGCTCATACGATACAATATTAAATTAAATATCGGCTTAGACGCGAATTGTAAATTGTGCTACGTCAGAAGCGTTTAAGAGTCCTTTATACCTGTGACATCAAGGAGCTGTCGAAGCCGCTACCTTCGGATAGATCCTTGCTCCAGTAATGCGTGTGAGCGATTTCCATCAATTGGAAGACAGAAGCCATCCCGCCTAGTCCAAAATTATTATACGTATGTGCGAGACCGTGCGTTACTGCTTGAAGGCACTTTAACATTCCCTTATACACGGGCTTTGATATGGCCTGGCAAAAAATTAAAGCAGACATAAAGCAGACATAATTGAATGTTTTACTTCAAAGCGAAAAATGTGTCAAGGAAGTTTAGTAGGCCCTAGATAATGTCGAATTAAGGTACACTTGAAATTTACCACATCGTCAATGTGATCGTTTGGACTAATCTTCCTATTAAGACCCTTATTCAGCTTCGTCACGACCAAATCCCGATAATTTTCGTCTTCCATCAACTTCTTCAGTCTGTTCAATTTGAGCCAACCAACGCCTTCGCCAGCCAACACTTGCGTCACCACCTAGAAATTCCGTCGTAAAATTAAGCACGATTGTTTTCAATGATCGTTTTTAGTAATTAAGAACGTTTACGTATACTTGCGTCATTTAAAAAGGCTTGATTGTCGCTATTTGTGCTGGAACGTTCCGCATTTTGCATCCTCTGCGCGTCTTCTTGATTAACTTTGTGTGTAGAATGTTTTATTAATGAGGAACGTTCCACCAATCCGGTTTTTCCTGCAACTGTCGACAAATCTCGTTCAGAATTTTATCTTTAGATTCAAGGATTTATAGTAATTAGAAATGCCTCGATGTTATAGTTTACCTTTCGGAAATGGTCCAAGAATCGGATTTGTCTTCTCTTTCGATTTCTGATTCTGCGGGAAGAAGCTACTGCCTCGATTGGAATTATTTTTACTACCTGAAAATCAGATGCAATTTCTTTATTCTTTAAACCGCGCTACCAACCCTTTCTCCTCGATGTACATTATCGACTTTTAATAATTAAATTTAAATAAAACGCACAGTTAAAAAAAAATTATAGATAAGTAACACATTTTTCTCCCGCTACTTTAAAAAACATCTTTTTACTCAAAATGTTAAACCTTTCATTATTTCGTACCGAATAAATCGCTAAACATGCTGCTGGTCTGCGCGGCGAAGCCGTTCAGATCGCTGCTAATATTGCTGAAAAAGTCCCGTCCGACGCCACCCCGTGTGTCAGACGCGACCAGCTGATTGCTCATCGAATCCTTCCGCTGTTGCGTCATATTGGGAGATTGCGGACTATGTACTGGTGACTGCGACTCTCCGAGGCTCTAAACGCAAATTTGATAGATCCATATTTAAAGATCAACGCAAAAACATTAGGATGCTTCAGCGCGATTCTGTCAGATCTGAGATCGTTGAAGATATGCTTACCTTGAGCAATCCCTTCTTCGCGGCGGCTTCTTTGGCACTTTTCGTCAAGTCTCCCAACGTGCTCTTGCCGACGTACGTCAGATCGTCTAATGTGTTTTTGCTTACGCCCGCCGCGGTTTTACTCGCCTCCAGCGCGGTTTTCGACACCTCTTGCACTGACTTGGTGGCCTCACCCATCGCTTTCCTCGTCTGTTGCGTCAACTAATTGATTCCGAATAAAGAAGATTAAGCATACATTCCGATTTCGTACGCCTTGTATATAAAGTTTCGCGAAAACGTACTTGCTCCAGTGGTGCAAATAGACTGTCTTCACCTGCTTCTGTAATTTTTTCTTTCGCCTGATGCTTCAGCTGCAATAAATAGTAAGTTAAATAAACAAATATAACTACTACCGTATCCAGAAAAAATTAATGGTAACGTTCGATAAAATTGCAGGAAAGAGTAAGAGATATCCTACTATCACACATGTTCCTTGCGATACCTTGTCCATGTGTGCGAGTAGCCCGTCCTGGCTGCTCTGTCTGGTAGTCTCGCGCATCAGGTCCTTCGCCTGACTGGCGATCTGCTCGAATAAAGAGCCCTGCGAGCCCTGCCGAAGAACACCATTTCCGGTAGTAGTGGTACTGCCACCGCTGTTCTGCCGTTGCATCGGGCTGTCGTTGCTCTGTTTCGGAATGATCGTCGGCCCCGCCGATGCTTGACGTTGAAGCTGCGTCGGCACCTCGTGATGATGATGATCGGCGGTGGTAACCGCGCTTATTTGCCGCGGCAGGAGGGGCCCGCCGACGGTGCTGAAGCTGGAGGCCCTCGCCAGGACATTGCCGACGCTCGGCTGGCGTTGTAGACCCGGCCCCGTGGGTGGTACCTGGAAAAGAGTACGCGAGCGTTCGTGATTATCCTCTATCTTCGTGAAAAAATAACAACCCTCTTGGAAAAATCGGATGCGAATCTTCTCTAATCCCGCGCGTCTCTTAAAAAAAAAACCCTTTTCTCGAAACTGTAAAAGTCAGAAAATCTAGAAAAATGCTTGTAACACTCTGAGAAATGTTGTTATTAATAAATTAGTAATACGCAAATTGTACGTCAGAAGGAAACTTTTAAGACACGCGGGATCAACAATAGAAAAAACTCCAAGATTTTTGTAATAAGAAAAGTGCTTTTCGTTTCTGAAAATGTTACACATTAATCGACACAAAATTTACGAAATACTTGATCTTAAGATTCAAGATATATGAGGCAATAAAGTTAGTCATGCTTTAACGAGAGATATTACGTTGAAATAGTATAGATTAAGTTTAGATAAAATAAGTTGTACTTGATAACACAAGTGGTAACTACGAGAAATCGTACTTTTCATAATTTAAATAGTGCATCACATTTCTAGTGCATGTACATGTAAAATATATTAAAAATACCGATCGTGTTTCTAAATAAAATCATTTTAACTCACAGTAATCGAACGTAAATTCGTGGACGTGTGTTGGCAAGAAGATGAAGAGATGTATATGTAAATGTATTGTATATGTATGTTTCGTGTACGTGCGTCGATCGCATGAGAAAGAAACGTATAATATTATACGAGCATCAATATGCAATAACGTAGCTTCAGAGAATAAAGTGAAAAAAATATGTGCATCGTAATAAGTTTTATTCGTCGTTTCATGCTGAGAAAAAATTGTGCGAGGTACAGATTGAAGATCAGACAAACAGAGAGCTCACGCAATTACATTTAATGCCAGCTATGGGAAGTGAATGGGGATTTATTATGTTCGTGTTTTCAGGAGTGAACATGCGAAGGATGCTCAAACGAACGCCGGTATCTCAAACGAATGATTTATCGGAATAATCGTGAAAACGACACCTTTGAAATAAAATGCAAGTCAGAGACGAGAAGCTTAACATTCTCCTCAAACAATACTTTTAATACGAGAAATACGAGTAGGGAAGAAGGAGGGAGATGAGAGAAAGAGACGAAAGAGGCAAACATTCCACACGTTCCCCGAAAATTCCATTCGGCATCCCATTCGATTTCATTCTATCATGCATCAATTCCCCAAAATGATACCGAGATGACATTAGAAAGTGACAGAATTAAAGGTACATATGAAGATGACTCACAGGAGTGACATATCTACTGATACGCGAGGTCCTGTGAGGTGTGGTAGGACGTTCAGTGTCGTTGAGCGAAGATTGAGTGCCTAAAGATCCCATGCTTATCCCTGTGAACTGTCCTACCGAACTTTGTGCGCTCAGGATAGTGCGCGGTGTTATTGTCGACGCGGAGTCTGACTCAAAGCTACCACCCTCCTCTTTATCCTATAATCAAGCTATCCGTTAGCGCACACCGCAGATGCTACTTCGAGATTTAACGTAACTCTATGAAAGTATTTCGTAGGTATCGTATTTATGCACGAATCATTATTGCGCGCCGATTTGCAGAATTGAAAAATATCTGTGAATTGTTTGACGTATGCGAAATCTTCAATGATATCAATGATATTATTTATTACTATAAGATTGGGATATTATTATCGCGTTACATGGAATCAAGAGATTTTCATTATTTTCAATTTTTTAATTCTGATGTCGTGCATGCGACATGATTTATGTCGTACGATGTAAACCATAATTACATAAGATATAAAATATCACTTACAATTAGCATATAAAAGGTAGTGCATATAAAGAGAAAGAAAGAAAATAATAAGAGGAGAGATCGCAGGAGAAGCCGTCGTCACTTACGTTAGTTGACTGCGAACCCTCATGAATTTTCGGATTTAACTCTAGCTCGGAGTCCCTGTTAAAGCTCGGGCTACTGAGGTCACTGTGACTAGAAGAAGTGCTCGGCGGGCTCTCGGGTCGTACCGGTGAGCCCTCCTCCACTCCCGGATATTGCAGGGAACTCGGTGGATTGTAGACGTTCTTCGGATCCACCGAGAGCGACATTGGTTGAGGCTGGGTCGCTTGCGGGCAATTGTAACCTGCGTAAAGTAACAGAACACATTAAAAATACTTAAATTGTATAAGTTGTATAAATTGTATAAGTCGTATAAATTGTATAAATGTTTAAGTGCTTTATCTTTAAACTTTATTTTTAAACTTTAAGTATTAGCTCTCTTCTTTATGGTACACTCACCTGGCGACAGATCGGACGATGCCATCTCGGAGACAAAGTCGCTGAGGGAGGAGTAGGAGGAGCTGGTGCTCTCGGCGCCCTCGGAGTCGGAACCGCTCTCGTCCGTCGGCTGAGTCTCGTGCTCCCTCATCGCCTTCAGGGCGTTTGCCAGCGAGCTACCGGAGTCCCAGACGGGAAAGTAGATCGGCTCGAGGTTGGTCGCGTACCAGCGCGGCTTGTCGCCGATCTGCGCGGGGTCGAACACTCCGGTCTGCACCCGGAGGAAGGCTACGTTGCTCGGTGTGAGGGACCACTCGGCCAGGAACTCGACCGCCTGCGTGCGCGCGAATCTATTGAGGAAGCTGCTCTTCCTGGGTCGGGACCGGAGGAACGAGTTGATCTGGAAGGCCACTACCGGCCGAGGGTACAGCCGTAGGGTGCGCGTGTGCTCGGTGAAGTTGGCCAGCAGGTTCTGCGAGTTGAAGAACCGCACCATGGCGACTCGCGTGGCGATGTCCACCGAATCCACGTCGTTTCCATAGATGAAAGGATTGAAGGGCGCCGGGCCACCCTGCCCCTGCCCGGCCACCTTCGGCGGATATGGCCCAGCCGGTCCGGGTCCACTGATCGTCGGCGACATCGACGGCCGACGAGGCGGACTCGACGACGAGCTCATGCCAGGCGAATTCAATGGGGCGTGCTGAACGTGCGTGCACTGATCGATGCTCGGCCTGTGCTTCGTCGAAGCAACACTGCAGGGTTTATTTATTAATATAATTTATTAGCATTCAACGTTGTAAAAATATTTCAAATGTAGTAATATCATTTCATAATTGATAGAGAATTGATAGAAGAATATATACTTCTGTTGATAATTTTTATTTAACAAAAAGCACGAATTTTTTTCAACAATTTTACAATTAAAATTACATTTATGTTATGTTGAGAATCTTATTGTTACTATGACAGATTTTAACGAAAGAGAAGTGATAATTACATACCTTAAACTAGAATGATGGGAGGCCGTGCTTTCTCTTCTACTCGGCACCTGAAAGGACAGACGAGCGAGATGCAGCGATATGTCCTGCGGGGCTAATGGAGGACCCGTCATACTGGCCATCGCCTGGAAATTCAATAATAAATTAACAATTGATTCTTATTGCAACGTTCGCTGCTCATTGCTACTTCGTTGCTACTTCGTTGCTACTTCTACTTCGACTAAATTACCAATCTACAAATAAAAAGGTGAGAATACTACAAAATTTTTCTACCCGAGTGTCGACTAAGCTACCAATCTTCGAGAAAAAAAAATTAATTTTTTTCAACTGCTATAAATTTATATTTGCTGCTTGTAATGTTCATTTTATTGTAATGTTCATTTTATAATACTAGCAAATGTGTGTGGCTGCGATTGACTCTACATGTGATATAAATCATGCATGCGACTAACTACAAAAAAAAGGGTATGCCACCAAGCGGACTGAGAGTATTGGTGAAATATTTACACTAGAGCCAACTTGATCCATCAGTTGCATTGCCTGCGATGAGGGTAAGGAGTCATTAAATATACTCTTCATCATTTAGCTTCGTAATCAACAAGAGTCAATAACGAAAATCCGTATCGCCGTTTAAATTTAACGGCGACGATATCGCGTTACCTGCTTCAGATGATTCTTCAGGATGGTACCCTCCGGTTCCGGCAACGGCGGCAAACCCTCTTCGCACAAAGAGCTCGGCGCCGTTATCTTATTGCTATCCAGGTCCACCAACCAGATATCGTCGGGCATCTTGAAGTTCTTCTTGTACAGTAGGAACGACGCGGGTATTCCGATCACGAAGGGCGTCGGGGCGAGCAGCAGCTGTTCCGCGCAGCTCATGCACGTGGGGAGCAAAGGTATCGCGGGAAACATGTACTCCAGCGGGTAGATCATCGTGACGAACGCCATGACCGACATGGACAGAGCGTTGTAATCCCGGGACTGAAGTACGATCTGAAAGGAAGAACATCGTTCGATTCTCTGATAGCTCTGGGCATTCAAAAACACGGAGAAAGCACTAGTGAAAAATATATATTTGATTTGTTCTTTCGATACCAACGATTGTTTTATACTATGTGTTCACCTTGTTCTCCAAGAGGATCAGCGTGAGGACCTTCAGACATATGTCGACGCCTAGGAGCTCCAACGGCAGGTGGAGAGGAAAATCAACCAAGGAAAACCTGGTGTGGTCCGGCAGGGCGAAGCACAGTGGGGGTTGCATACTCGATGATATTATCTCAACCTCGACACGCGTCTTCGCCGGAACGGGCACGGGACTACTGAGCAAACGCAGTATCCACGTCTCGATCTCACGAACATCGTGAAGCACGATGGACGGCGTGTCGCCCAGAGCCTGGCCCGTCAGAACGCTCCATACCGTATCTCTGTAACGGGGGGGAAGTTCAGTTGAATGATGTTAGAAGTTTTTTGAACCTTCGTGGATCCTTTTCTTCTCTTCGGAAATTACAAAGCATTGTATACAGGATTGGTAAAATTGGAACCAATTTGAAACACACCTGTTGGTCTGCCGAGAAGCCCCCACCTTCTGCGGCGAGAAGCTCTCGTTGCACGCGTCGATGATCTTCTTCAGGACGAAGAGACACTCCCGGAACATCGTGAAGAACGGATGGTGCGAAATGATGCATAGCGAGGTCAAGGAGTGATTGCGAACCCTCTGCGAGAATATTGAGGTCGTTGAACTTATTGACGGACTTTAATATTGCTTTAACAGTGCGTTCCTTTCTGAACTAATTATCAATGGCGAGAACTGTTTCGAGTACAAGGCAGTGTAGCCAGATCGGGACCCGATCGTCGGGGACCAAAAGCAACTCGAGAGCCAGGAACCAACGCAACCTCGGCCGAGCGCACACGTACGTGCTTTCTCTTCGTGTGTGTATCCCCACTGCCCGAGTGGCTCTCGAGAGCCTCGAGTCCCGGATGGTCGGGTGGCTTTTGGTCTCCGATCTGGTTACACTGGTGCAGCAAGGGCTTGTTATATATTACAGTAATATCGACCTGACGTCTTCGAGACGCTCGTGGCGAAGGGGAATGACTGCCGCCGCTCTCGCTGTCTCCGCTCGGCGCGATGAATTCCAATCTCGGGGCGTGGGGTACCTGCGGGGTGTCCGAGTCCCTCCTGCTACTCGAGCAATCTTTCTCAGAGTCACTAGGACCCACCGCACTGCTCCTATAGTCGCTATAACGAACGGCTAGAGATACAGTCTTATAAACGGGACACTCTGTCAGGTGCGAATTATTCATGTGCTAATTATTATTCTAGTTGTTCTAGATATGCGACGAGAAATTTTCGCTCGATTCTGGAGAATCAGCAAATTTTTAGAATCTTAAATTAATTTAGAGAAAAAAAGGTTTTTTCCCTGTTTTTTTAATAATTGTATAAAATATATAACTGTGTTCTGTGAATATAACATCTAGATTTAATTTTTCTAATTTTTCTATTGATTATACAGGTCAGAGGGAGGCCAATAATTCTAAGCCATTTCACCTAGAAAAAGCGGAATCCGTGCTTCTCTCCATGCTCTTCCTCCAGCTTTCCCTGCGAAACGTGGTGTTGTACTTTTCCCTCTTGAGCGAAATCCCACCGGCAGCCACGACCCCCGCTCTCTCCGTAGGTCGGTAAAAGTTCACGCAGATCCCATAACGCGTTTTTCCTGCGTTTTGCAAAATGTTACTGTTACTGGATCCTTGGCGGTATCACGATGCAACGTGCAAGTGGGAACGAATACGAACCTGAATCCTTGTCAGTGAGGGTGAAGGTGAAGGACGTCGCCTCTCGTAAGGCCGTGCGCTTCGGTCCCACGCTACTGCAACCTTCCGGTTGGCAGAAATACACCATATCCAGAGGCAGAGGAAAATCTTTGTGATCCTCCACCGGATATCTGCGTAGCAACTCCGGGACCTGTTTTAAATGAAATTATTGTTTCCTTTCCTCAAATCGGATTCTTTTTTTTTTTTACAATCCAGTAAATATTCTGCCACACGAAATTTCGTGAAATGTAAAATTCTATAAAGTAAGTACACCTAATTACCACGCCACCTAATTAAGCTTTTGGATTTTTAAAGCTTTTTTCTTTTTATAGAATTATGCGAATACACGCTCCAATGTTCCTCATTGTTATACCTGGACGGGCTGACGAGAGGCAGCGGGCATCCTGGCCCCCACGATGGCGAGATAATCCACCAGTCGGGGGCACAGGAATTTCTTCTGTATATCCATGGCGGTTATCTACGTGTGTGCAGCTGTGTCACCGTTGTATACAGTGTACACAGGACATCCGAGCCGCTGAACTCTCCTCAGGGTCGTTTCCAGCTTGAATCATGATTGCACCATTCTCTCGCTTATTTATCCCACCTGCAAATAGAGAGTCGACCGAGGGCTGCACTAAATTGACGTTTCTGTCTCGCTATTTGCTGAATAGTCCTGATTAATTAAACTTTCGCTGCGTAACTACTCTCAAGGGTGCGAGCGGCTAGCGGGTTGAATTTATATGTGACACGTCCTGCTTTTGCTTTGTTATCTTTAATGACGTACTCTTCGGCTAACGCGGAGGTAATATTTTCTTTAAAAGAATATCTTAGAGGGCAATCATTATATATATTTTTAATTAAACTTTGCGCTAACGTTATCTTAAGTTATCTTAATTTATTTTAAGTTCAGATCATTAATGTTACAGATTGCTTCTCTGAAGTTTTAATTAAACTAAAGTTACCTCATTTTCGCAATCCCATTAGGTTAATAAAAGAATCATTAAACATCCAATAATTTTAAATTTTGCGAGTAGATTGAATTTATATGTGACGTCCCGCTTTTCCAGGCAATATTTTCTTCAAAAGAATATCTCGAAGGGCGATCATAATACATTTTTAATTAAACTTTATACTAAAATTATCTTAAGTTATCTTAAGTTTAGATAGTCGACGTCACAGGTTGCTTCCTCCTCTGAAGTTTTAATTAAACTAAAGTTATCTCATTTTCGTGATACCTCAGGTCAATAAAAGTTTCATTAAACATCAATTAATTTTAATCTTTGAAAATTATATTGCAAAAACTTAAAAAAGAAATATTATTTATTCTTACATTTGAAAAATCTTGAATTTTAGTCGCAAAAATGAGATGCGGGACAACAGATCAATTTCCCTAAGGAAGGAGGAGAACGAAGAGATCGTTGAGGGCGGACAGACAGAACGGGCCGGAAGGGCAGCCGCCGGTCCGGACGAGGTTTCGGGAGATCGATGATTCCGGAGGCCCGAAGGGATATCTGTGTCACCGTGTCGGGGGCAAAAGGGAACGCGAGGGAAAAAGCGCGGGCGTGCATGCGCATGTTTAATTCCGCCTTGCGATATCGAGCCTCGTCTCGTATTTCGCGCCGTGGCGCAACGCGGACGACGGGGACGACGGGGTCGTGTGCACGAAGCCACGTACTTCCGTGTTCGATTACACCGTCATCGCGCACGACAAGTGATTACGGCCCGCACGGATCTGACGGCTTGACCGTCGCGGAAAAAGAGAGAGCGCTCCGGCGACGTCTGAACGAGAACCAAACTCCGAGCTTTCGGAGTTTAGTTCTCGTTCGGATATCTTCTATCCGTTTGAGAAATTCTTTAAAGATTTTTCAATTTTTTAGATATTCTCTTTTAGAGACACTCTTCTCTTTCTTGAGTTTCTTTTTTTTTTCCAGTGTACGAGAAAGGCGATGGATTGTAAAGTTCAGTGCGACATTCGATGATCTCCGTGTTTCTTTAGAAACTTGAGAAGTTCAAGTTAAAACTGAGAAAATCACATTTAAATCCCATTCTCAGGTTTCTACGAAGAATACGAGTTACTGGCGAAGAATACGTCACTGGCAGGAAATCTTTCAATTTTGAAAGAATAAACTGAATAAACTGAGAACTTGAGAGAATCAATCTTGAAGTTATAAAAGTTATTTGTTATTCGCAGACTCATTTTCTCTCTCAAGTTCATAAAAAAAATGAGTAGGTCGCGATGAGACTGAAGTCTCTGACCTTAAAGGAACCTCCTACACATATTACTAGCGTATGCATAAAATTATTTTATCTGCGATATGCAAAATTAATCGTCGTTCTAAAAGACTGCAAACGTGGGTTGTTTTTTTTTTACGCATAGCAGCTTAAAGTTGCATACACTGTTAAAAAATAAAATTTAAACCAATGCTTAAATAACATTTTGTTATTTGCAATTATCATTTATATATGTCGAAATTTATTTTTACAAAAAACAATGTTATTTCAACTCCATTTATTTAGTTGAATTAACGACATATCGAGTAGAAGTAGCGACAACCTACAGGAATAATTAAAAATTACTCAAATTGAGTATAATTTAACGTTACAAATTTAACAGTGTATCGATTGCAAAATATTCCGTTTCTTGGCTCATGTCCATTTTTACCTTATTACTTATTACTTAACTTATTACTTATCCTTTTCTAATTCTCAAAACTATAGAAAAAGACAAAACATCAATTAAACCGAGATTAAAGTTAATCTGCATTGATAGAAATGGACATTAGCTTATAAAATTCCAAAAATCCACCTCCATATAAATCCAAAGGCAAAATTATTAAAGAACGACACGGTCGGAAACGTTAACGCGTCTCAAATGCGACTTGAACTTGTAAAATCGATCTCGCGATGAGATCTCATTAGTCAAAAACTCGGCGATGCATCGTCCGGTGAGAGGTCGCGTTTAACGATTCACCGAATAACTCAGCTTCCGAGCGCGCGGCCATCAATTATTCAGCCCGTCTCTTCCCGAGGCGCGAATGGTATCGCATGCGAGGAACGGCAACAACGACGCGCGGAATTATTCCCGGATCGGACGTCGGAAAGACGTCGCGCGTCCAGCTGCGACGTTAAGTGGCACGTACACCTGCGGGCGATCCGTTTCGATAAGAGCGCGACAGTTAACGAGTCGACCTCGCCGAGTTCTGCCTGCTCCCGAAGAGCGGCTTCGATCGTAAACGTTGACTCGGAGAGAGAGAGAACGTCGATCGTGACTCCGCACAGCCGCGAAATTGCATTCGAAAATCGAAAATCTAATTATTCGGTCAATCAATTTGATTATTAATTCGATTAATTAATTCGACAGATTTGCGGAGGAGCGTTTCGACGAAGGATTAGTTCCGACGGCGGATTGACGACGAGGAAGGAGGAAGGAATTCCAAGTTCGGCCTTTACCTCAATACCCCGGAGAACCTCGGTCTCCCCCGTAGCCGCCGTCAAGAACACGAAGAGAAACGCAATTAAAAGCGACTACTCGCGAGGACCTCGCGCTCGAATTCGCGACAACGGAATAATTACGCCGTCCCCGAGATTGCTTCGCCGCGCATCGATCCCCGAGGCACGAGCGCGAGCCCCACCGGGAGAGACGGTCTCACCTTTCCGACGTTCGCTCGGGGAGGCGTCGCTCCGGATTCGCGAGAGATTCGATTAGCCGACCACCCCAGATTAGTCTCCCCGGGAAGGGAGGAATTAAATTTGCGCAGGGAGAAACGAGGAATTCGGGATCACTTCCGTCCCTCAAGGCCGTCGAATCGCAAACCCGGAATCGCTCCTACGATTCCATTGGGAAAACGATCTCCCTCAACGTCGGGAGTTCCTCCGCTTCCGTCGCCGTCGCTAGCGAGAGAGAAAGAGAGAAAGAGAGACACTTACGTTTTTACAATGCGTATCAACGCGGAGAACGAGCGCGCTCGGTGGTCCTCGTCCGACCGCCATACGAACGACCGGCAAGGCTGACGGTATTCCGTATCAGCCAAACGGCGATATCGCACTGGCGCGGCCCCGGCCCCGCCGACGCGCCCCGGAGCCTCGCGCGGCCGCTCCGTCGTCGCGACGACGCTGATCGTTCGCCAGAAGCGGTACCAGGCAGGCGCAACGTGTCGACGCGAACGTCGGACGCGCGCCTCCGCCTCCAGTAACGGCGCAAGCCGCCCCGATTCCGCTTCCGAAAGTGAATTTCCATTATTTCCCGCGTTTAACGGCCCGCCGCGGCCGCCCGTCGCGTCCGAACATCTTTCCCGTCCGCGATTCGCCGCCGCCGGAGTGACAGGCAGAGACGGCAGAGAGGGACGAACAGTCGGAGCCTCCTTTGACTTCGGCTCGACTCTTAAACTCTTTCAATTCTATTTCTGTTTTTTTTTCCCTTTGTCGTACAGAATATAGACCGTATTAAACCGTATATTGATTTTTCAGTACAGAGCGTAGAATGCAACGCGAAGCGTACGTGGTAATATTTGTCTCCGCGCATGGCGCACTATGTGTGGACAGAGTAAATATTTTTGTGGACATCGTTGATCACGTGTAGAGTGATTTTCCTTTTGTTAACGTAAGATGTTGTCCTTTTGTTAAGCTTCATTGGCGACGCCAGGGATCTCGAGGATAATTTTATCACATTGACTACGACTACAGCGCGCTCAATGAATTCTTAATATGCGTTTTATATGTAAATATAATAATTTAATTGTATAAAGCAAAATTAAAAGATGACCCATTACAAAATTAAATCTAATAACTGTCTAATACTACTCTAATTATTTTAAAAGCGAGATAGTAGCTTGATTAAGGACTTAATTTTTTAAATACGATTGTAAGGCCGGATGAAGCTGTGATAAAATTGTTATTTCTCGTTTCTCTTATTATTATTAAGTATTAATTTTTTAAATACGATCTGGAAGGCCGGATGAAGCTGTGATAAAATTGTTATTTCTCGTTTCTCTTATTATTATTAAGTATTATTTCATGTCGTCTTTCTTCTTCGAATTTTTTAACAGGATTTCCAGATTGACAAATAATTTTTAATATCCCCGATTTACACCTAACAATCTTAATCTAATCAATCCTTAAGTTTAAGTGTATCCACACTTGAATTGCATTAAATTCGATCTGTCCATTCAAAGAGAAAGACGGAGATCGCGAGTTGTAGGGCAAAGCACCTCCGACGAGCCCGGAGGCGTGTCGTTTCCACCCTAAAAATATCGCCTTAGAGGAAAAAAAATAGCTCTCCAATTACCAGAGCTTTAAAAGTAAGCTCTTTAATTCGGCCCTGCGTGTCGAGAGGCACGTCGCGTGGCCCGGTTGGCGTACTCGCGCGTCGTCACCAGCCGGATCAATAACGCCCCGTCAGATTCAGCTGAACGTCCGGGGGTACGCAGGAGGGGGCCGGGTGCGCGCACGCGAGAGGGTATTAGGAACGGGGTTGGAACCTTGCGGGGCCAGGGACGTCGGCTAGGTCGACCGACCGACCGACCGACCGACGGCAGGGCAAAGGACAAGGGTGCCGTCTTCGTCTTTCTTTCAGAAGGGGGAGATTTAAGGGAGGAAAAGAGGGAGGGCTGCGCTCAAAATCCTCCACGTGGGAATTCATCGCGGGGATTGCGGAGAAAGGTCGCGGCCTGATTTCGAAACCCGCGTGGCTTATACATGCCAATAATTCGCTTTCCCCGTCGCGTGTAGACACGCGTGTCCATCGATTTGTAATATACTCGGAGCACGTTTTGTTCCCGACGCGTAGGAAGCCGCGGCGCGACGCGTGATGAGGGATTTGTAACACCCCTCTTCGATGTATAAAAATAAATGGCCGAGGGCAGAAGAACGCTTTCGTACGAGACACTTTTTAATTGCCAAGTGAGAAACGACGTTGAAAAAAAAAATTGAATGCATTTAACAATAGCAATACCCTTCGACGCTGTTTTAAGCTTGAACTTTTACGGTTGACCTTGGACGAACTGGGAGAATCTGATGAAGGAGGAGACT